CTCTATTGCATCATTCCTATGCTAAGGAAGAGGCGGAGGTCGTTGATGCATAGCTAAGAGCTATCTCATTTGCTCCGCATGGACTTGTTACTCGTTGTTGCATTGCTTTATGTTATTGCTGCATCATTTCCATCATATGATTTAAAGCTTCTTATTGATTTCTATTATTATCGTTGGAGGTTCCTTCTCCTTTTTACTCATACGCGATTCTTTCTTGGCATGATTTGTCTTTTTACATGTTACGTTACATTTAGGTTAGTTTTAATCTCGAAATCCTTCCCTTATGATGTATGACACATGACAAGGCATTCATGTACTTATATAAAATATTCCAAATATATCACACAAACAAGCATCTATATTAACAAACATGTTTACATCTAAAATTTGTCATGCCATATTTACACCTAAAATGCATTCCTATTGACATCAAAAGCCGTACGAAAGGTATTATACCATGCAACACGTTTCCTAATAACGCATCTACTTTATCAAGTTAACATATCGAACACGTCGTGGAAAGGTGTACTCTACTCTCCACCGACCGATAGCATTAATCGACGCGATCCGTGCAATCTTACGACCGAGGTGCAAAGGTAGACCCTAGTTATAATTAACCTAGTAAGGGTCCGTATAACTTGTGTCGACGTAAAGGGTCGAATCACATTTCAATAAGAATATCGATCTATCTCACTCTCCCGGACATCATCCAATAACTATCGATCTCTTAACGAAGAATCGACATACGTTGATCCTTAGAAAATCTACACTACGGTACTACTCAAAAGAGGCGTCAACGAACACTATTCCATGAATCGAGTCATGCACTCGGATAACATGTGCCACCGGATCTTGGCCTAAAGCCATAGTAAGGTCTGTTTAGCTTAGCCCGAGTATACGGCTAAGGTGGCCTATTATTGACGTGTCCTAGCGATGCGAAAATATAAAATAGATGCGAGCATCTACAATAACAATATTTACCATTAACCATAGTTCCGGGAAATAGCTACATATGACATAAAACACACATTAAAGACTTATATTTATTATAGACCATTTATTAAATACCAAGAAGTAGATTTACTTATTGAGTAGCGCATCGATCCTTAGGCTCACGTGACACTTAGGGTTCCGCCCAATTAATCGAACCAAGCTCTAATACCACCTCTATGACGCCCTGCAGATCCTTTAGCAATTACCTAAGAGGCATGGCTAGGTGTGTTACGGTTTAGAGACTAAAGTCTCAATTTACTCCCATAATACATGAACAATAAATAATAACATATTAAGCATAGAAGGACGTATAATAAAATTTACACAACTTTAATGAATACTATTACGAAGTCAAAAAATATCTAAGGTGTTATTTACACACTACTAGACATCATACCCTATGTTACAATCAAAAAAGATTTCTATGTTTTTCATGTCACACATGAGCCCTTTTTTGGGAGGAACCGATGGCTTCTTTATCGACACTACCATCACTTTTACCTATCATGGCATGAAATAACAATAAGGTGAGCCAAAGCTTATAAGTAAGGTGATGCACGTGATATGTAGTGCTTTCCTATGACTCGCCTTCCCCTATCAATTTTAATTTGGGTACCCCAGGTAGTAGCAAATCTACTCTATTCCCATCTCTCGGTGATTACCGAATCACCTAATGCTAGCAACAAAATTATCTCTCATTGTGGTACACGGTTAGTGAAATTATCCATCGCATAACTATATAATCAATTAATAAAGCATGCACACAACTTCATTGCTAATACCTATTTAATACGGTTAGGTTACCAAACCTATCCAATTTCAAACCAATTCGGTTACCAAACCTCATATTTCTCGACTCAATTATTTTCACAAGTCGAACCACCCCCAAAATCATATGATGCACATGATATTTCGTTTACCACATTCCACCAATCATGGGTACCAAACCCTCATTTTCATACCACACTCGAAATCCAATCCACACTTGGGATTTCATATATTTTTCGTATTAGTTACGTAAAGAATACAAGACTCGCCCATTAGGGTTAATCCATTCCTATATTTTAGTCCTAGGAATGCATTTGAGCACATTTGTAGTGAGATTTCATTTCTAACTCGAAATTTAGCCTTACTAGTCGAATTTAGCTTCTAATAGGTCTAGGTCTCAACTTTTGATTTTTCTTGAAATCTTACCTTCCAACATTTCATTTTATATGTATCCAGGTGTAATTGGACAATTAATTATGAAGTTGGATGATCGTAACTCAAATCCCAAATTTTTGGGTTTAGGCTGAATGTTTCCTAATCTAAGCCAAAATTTTCTTTTTCTTGGAATCTAACCTTTTTACACTTTAATTTATACTTATTTAGGTGCATTTAAACCATTAATTATCAAGCTGAATGATTGGAACTCAAATCCCAAATTTTTGGTTTTAGGACGAATGGGTTTTAAAAGTGGCAAGAGATTTTCTTTTTTTTTCTATGCAACTTCTTTTCATCATAACTTACTCATTTATAATTAATTAGGTTACCACCGAGTCCAAGATCTTTAGTTACCTAAACACAATCCAAACTTTGGCCATTTTAGTACCTAGGCCGAATGAATATCCACTATGGTTTATTGCATCAAAACTTTAGTCCAAGCCTATTTGTTTTAACCAAACCCATCAACACATATTTAGGCATACATAACACGTGGATACATAAACATATCAACCATTCATCATCAATATATAATCCAATCATTAATTTCACCTTAAGCCATCAAACACAAAATTCTAACATGAATAACTCATAACAACATAATGGAAAGCTTTAAACAACCAACTAATTTAAGCACACATAAATGAAATTAGGGCATAACATAATGCAAGATAAACCTACTTACTTTGATTTAAGCTTTCCAAAAGATTTCCTAGCTTTTTCCTTTTTCCTTTCTTCTTTCTTTCTTTTCCTCACTTTTTCATTTTCTTCCCTCTCAATTTCGTTTACTTTCTTTCTTTAGTGAGCTACGAGTTTTTCCTAAAAAAATGGCTAAGTTTAACTCTCTCTCACACTTATATACTCCATCTTTCTCTTCTCATTAATTGGTAGAACATGTGTCTAAATTTTATGGTTATAAAGTGTAAAGTGAGAGAGAGAAATTGGGAGCAAGGTGGTGGGTTTGAAGTCAAAGGTGGCTAGGTGTCACTAATTAGAACATGGTGGAAGATGAGGTGTCCAATTAGTAACTAAAAATGGGTAACTAAAGCGTAACTAAAGTAACCAAATTTCTAAGGTAGTTTTGTTCCAATAATTCTGCATTTTCACCACATTTGGGTAATTCTTTCACTTGCTTGGCATTTTTAGATACATGTTATGGGAAATGAATAATGGCTAGCTAAATACCCAAACATTTAGTCCCATAAACACTCCCATGAAAATTAGGTATTTTAATACCATAAATAGTAAAGAAAATGTCACATAAATTACACCCACACCCAATAAATAGATGGATAGCTATTCCGGGATATATATTTATAAGGTTAAGAATTTTCACGAGAGTTACCTTTCTCTCCCCAATATTTTGGCATGCATTTCCCTAAATTTCAGCACTCTCCACTCCTTTAGATAATTTTTCAAACTTCATGGTACGTTCTAAATATATGTTAAAGGAAATAAATGGTAACTAGCTAGGTTGCCCAAAGTTCATCCCATAAATCCTTACATAAATGGTAAGCATGTTAATAGCACAAAATATTAAGTGCAAAATAACTCACACCTATACTTAGTATATCCATAGATAAATATTTCGAGTGTGTATAACTATGTGGTTAAGGATTTTCACAAGGGTTACACTCTCCCTCTATCCTTCTCCCTCACTCCCTCTCCTTCCCTCTCTCTCTCTCTCTTTTCCCCTTTTTTATCCCTCTCTCTCCCCTTTATCCCTCCCTCCTTCTCCTTCTCTTCTACTCTCTACCTCTCTCTCTCTCTATCTTTCCATCTCTCTATCTCTCTCTCCTTCTCCTTCTCTTCTACTCTTTACCTCTCTCTCTCTCTCTATCTTTCCATCTCTCTATCTCTCTCTACTTCTCCCTCTCTCTCTCGCTCTATATTTCACTCTCTCTATCATAGTTTTAAATAGCAAGTCACGATTGAAAAAATCATCGTGATCGCTATCACGGATCATGGCTTGTTGCGGTAGTAAAATAATGGTTATTGCAACCGATGTTGTGAATACTTTAGCAACAGCTTAATAAGTTTATTCTAATTCATATATTTTTAACAATTTAACTAATCAAGCATACTAATAAGTAATAACATTTATAATAATTTAATATCATACAACAATAGTTGAATTTATTATAAAAAAAAATAGTTAATAACACTTCTAATAGATAAATATAAAAAAAAATACCTAAAAGTTTCAATAAACACATTACGAAATATTTATTTTTAAAATAATCATCACGGTGAATCATAATAATAGTTATCATTTTGTTGTTAATGTTGAAATTTTTGTCCATCAAAATTTACAACTATAACTAGTTTAGAAAAACAAATTAGAAAATAACATAAAATTAAAAAAATAATAAATTTTTAAATTTGCAACCTATGAATTTGTGCATGCAAGAAAAACAAAGTAGAATAATAAAGACTAAATCATACATTAATCCTTGTAGTTTTAATAAATGAATTAATTAGCTTTTAATATTTTGAAAACTAATTATTTAATTTTTTAATCAGTATTGATCATGTTTAATATATTATATTTTATTCTATAAATATTTTTTTATCAATCTTTTTCATGGTATAAATTTATTTTTTCCTTTTTCTATTTGCTAAAAAAAAGAAAAATAAATTAAAAAATATAAAATGAACAAAATAAATAAATTATTAGCGTTTTGAAATAGAAGAACTAACTAAATTATTGTTTCAAAATAATAGGACTAATTTATAATTTATTCAATCAAAACGTGCAAATGTCTCTTGCTTTTCAAAATAACGAGTCTCCTTTCATCATTCACATGTCTCTTGCTTTTCAAAATAAAATTCTCCTCTCTTTTGATATTCTCTCCGTCTCTCGCTTCGCCCTCCCATCTCCCTCTCTACCCCTCTCATCTTGGCCTCTCTTCTCTCGTGTGCCTCCCATCTTTGTCTCTCATCCTCTTTGCCTCTTATCTCTGCCTCTCTACCTCTCTCCCTCTCTGCCTCTCTACCTCTCTCCCTCTCTCGCCTCTACCACTCTTCGGTGCTTAAATTTTAGTAGTTGAAATTTTGAATTTTTGTTTTTGTAATTCCATTATATAATGGAAAATAATGGGATTATGTAATGTTAATCTTGTTATTTGTGTGAAATGGCATCGGAAACCCGTAATGTCAAATAATGATAACGGGTGCCCGGTTATCGTTATATAACGGCCATTACATTACGTAACAATCATTTTTAAAACCATGCTCTCTATCTTTTTCTCTTCCTCTCTTTCCCTCTCTCGTATCTCTCTCTCTTACCCTTTCCGTCTCTCCCTCGTGCTCTCTCTCTATCTCTCTCCCTTTCTTTTTTTCTCCTCTCTCTCCTTCCCTCTCTACCTCCATCCCACACTCTCTCTTATGTGCTTCCTTTTGTCTCTCCCTCTCTCCCTCTCTTTCTCTCTCCCATACTTTACCTCACCCTCCCTTTCCCTTCCTCTCCCTTTCTCTCTCCTTCCTCTCTCCTTTTCTCTCTATCCTCTCCCTCTCTCTTTCTCTCTCTCTCCCTCTCTCCCCCTCACTCTCCCCCTTCTCCCTCTCCATCTCCCTCTCCCCCCTCTCTTTTCCGAACTCTCTCTCCCTCTATCCCCAACTCTCTCTCTTTCTATGTCTCTCTTTCTCTCATTTTCTATCTTCCCCTCTCTTTATCTCTCTTTCCTCTCTTTATTGCTCCCTCTCTCTCTCTCCCTCTCTCTTCCTCTCCCTCTCCTTTCTCTCTCTATCCCTCTCTCTTCCCTCTCTTCCCCTCCTCCCCGCTCCTTCACTCACTTTCTCCCTTTTTCTATCCCTTCCCTCTCTATCCCTCTCTCTCTCTCTCTCCCCTTCTCTCCCTCTTCCTCTCTCTCCCACTCTCTCCTCTGCCTTTCTCTCTTACTCTTCTCTCCACCTCTATCTCTACCTTTCTCTCCATCTCTCACTATCTCTCTCTTTCTCTCCTTCTTTTGTTCTCTTTCTCCCTCATTCTCCCCTCATTCTCCTCTCTTTCTATTTCTCCCCCTTCATCTCCCTCCCTTTCTCCCACTTTCTCCTAACCTATCCATCTCACTCTGTCTCTATCCCTCTCCCACTCTTTCTCTTTATCCCCTCTCAAGCTCCCTTCCCTTCCCTCTCTCTCTCCCTCCCACCCTCTATCATCCTTTCTTTCCTTATCTCCCTCTTTCTCCCTCTCTCTCTCTATCACTCCTCAATTTCTCTCTCCCTCTTACTCTCTCCCCTCCCTCCTTCTCTCTATCTCTCTTTTTCCTTTTCCCACTCTCTCTACCTCTCTCTTAATCTTCCCTCCCTCTCCCTCCCTCCCTCCCTCCCTCCTTCTCCCTCCCTCTCTTACTCTTTACCCCTCTTTTTTTCCCTCTCCCTCTCTTTCCCTCCCTCCCCCTTTCCTCTCCTCACTCTCTCTCTTTTCCTCCCACCCTTTCCTTCCCTCTCCCTCCCTCCCTCCCTCCCTCCCTTCTTAACTCTATCTATCTTACCCTCTCTCTCCCTCTCTCTTTCTCCCCCTCTCTATCCTCCTCTCTCTCTCCCTCATTTCTCCATATCTCCCTCCTAGTCTCTCACTCTCTCTTTCCTTCTTTCTTACTCTCATCTCCCTCTCCCTCTCTCTCCCCATTTCCCTCTCCCTTTCTCTCCCTCTCTCCCTTTCCTTCTCTTTCCCTCTCTATATCCATCACTCTTTCTCTCTCCGTCCCTCTATCTCCCTCTCTTATTTCTCTCTCTCCCCCTTCTCTCCCCCTCTCTATCCATTTCTCTTGTCTCTCTCTTCTTCTCTCTCCCTCGCTCCCTCCCTCTCCCCTCTCTCTCCCTGTATTCTTTCCCTCTCTTTTTCTCTTCATCTCTCTCACCCTTCTCCTACTCTCTTTCTCTACCTCCTCTCTCCCTCTCTCTCTCCCCCACTCTTTCCTTATTTTTTTCTCTTTATCTCTCTCGCTCGTTCTCTTACTCTCTTTCTCTACCTTCTCTCTCCCTTTCTCTCTCACAGTCTACCTTTCCCTCCCATTCCCACTCCTTCTCCCTTTCTCTCTTTTTTCTCCCTCTCTCTCCCGCTCTCCCTCCTAATCTCCTTCTCTCTCTCTTCGTCTCCTTCTCTCTCTTTCTCTATCCCTCTCTCCCTCTTTCTCCTTTCCTCTCCCTCCCTCTCTCCTTCTCTTTTTCTATCTCTCCCTATCTCTTTTTCTCTCCCTTTTCTCTCTCCCACTCTCTTTGTCCCTCTTTCTCTCCCTCCCTTCCTCCCTCTATCTCATTTTCTCTCCTTCTCTTTCTCTTTCTCCTCCTCTCTCCTCTCTTATCCTCTCTCTAACTCTCTTTCTCTCTCCCTCTCTCTTGCTATCTCCCCTACTCTCCCTCTTTCCATCTTTCTTTTACCTTCTCCCTCTCTCTACCTCTCTCCTAATCTCCCCCACTCTCCCTCCCTCACTCTCTCTCTCTCTCTTGCCCTCCTTCTCTTCCCTCTCCCTTTCTCTCATCTTTCTCCCTCTCTTTCCCTCCCTCCCTCCTTCCCTTCCTTCTCCCTCTCTCCCTCCCTTCCATCCTTTCCTTCCCTCTCTCTCACTCGTCCCTCTTTTCTCTCTCCCTCCTTCCTTCCTTCCTCCCTCCTTATCTCTACCTCTCTTACCCTCTCTCTCCCCCTTTCTCCCTCTCTCTTACTCCCTTTCTCCATCCCCTTCTCTCCCATTCTTTCTCCCCCTCTCCCTCCCTCTCTTCCTCTCTCCCTAACTCCCCTCTCTCTCCTTCCATCTCCCTCTCTCTTTCTCCTTTTCTCTCCATCCTCCTCTCTCTCCCACTCTCTCCCCTCCCTCTATATCTCCCTCCCACTCTTTAACTCTATCTTTCCCTCTTTCCCAATCTCGTCTCCCTCTCCCTCTCCCTCTCCCTCTCCTTTTCTCTCCCTCTCTCTTGCACTTCATATCCATCACTCCTTCTCTCTGTCCCTCTACCTCCCTCTCTTTATTTCTCTCTCTCCCTTCTCTCTCCCTTTCTCTCTCCCTCTCTATCCCTTTCTCTTCTCTCCCTCTTTCTCTCTCCCTCTTTCTTTCTCTCCCTTGCACTCTTCCCATCTCGCTTACTCCCTCCCTTTCTCCCTCTCTCTTTCCCTCTCTTTTTCTATCTATCCCTCTCACCCTTTCTTCCACTCTCTTTCTTTACTTCCTCTTTCCCTCTCTCTTCGCACTCTACCTTTCCCAACCACTCCCTCTTCCTCTCCCCTTCTCTCCTTTTCTCCCTCTCTCTCCCACTTCCCTCCTAATCTCCTTCTCTCCCTATCTAACTCACTCTCTCTATATCCTTCTCTCTCTCTCTTTTTCTTTCCTCTTTCTCTTTACCTCTCTTTCCCTCTCTCCTTCTACCTTTCTATCTCTCCATATCTTTTTTCTCTCTTTTCTCTTTCCCACTCTCTTTGTCCCTTTTTCTCCTCATCTCTTTCTCTCTCTCTCCCCGTCTCTCTCCCTCCCTCTCTCCCCTACTCCCTCTCTCTATCTCTTCCTCTTCCTCTCTTCCTCTCTTATTCTGCCTTTCTCCCTTTCTCTCTCCCCTCTTTTCCCCTCTCACTTTCTCTCCCTCTCTCCCTCTATCTTGCCCAAGCTCTTCCTCTCTCCATATCACTCTTTCTCTCTCCCTTTCTCTCTCTCTCACCCCCTCTCTTTCTTTCTCTCCATCTCACTCTCTCTCCCCTCTATCTCCTTCTCCCTTTCTTTCCTCTTTTTCTTTCTCCTACTCTCTCTACCTCTTTCCCTCTCTCTCCCTCTCCCTTTTTCTCTTTCTTCCTCTCTCACCTCTTCTCTCCATTTCTCTAACTTTATCCTTCTCTCTTTCCCACCCTATCCCTCTCCCTCTCTCCTACCTTATCTCTTCCTCTCCCTCATTTCTTCTCTCCCTCTCTCTCCCTCTCTATCCCTCCTTTTCCCTCTCATTTCTTTCTCCCTTTCCCTCGCTTCTCTCTTCCTCTCCCTCTATTCCACCCTATCTCTCCCTCTATCCTTCTACCTTTATATCTCTCTTTATCTTTCCTTCTCTCCCCTTTCTCTCTCCCACTCTCTCTATCCCTTTTTTCCCCCTCTTTTTCTCTCCCTCTCTCTCTCCCCCTCTCTTCTCTTCCTCTCTCCCCTACTCCCTCTCTCCGTCCCTTTCTCTTCCACTCTTCCTCTCTTATTATGCCTTTCTCCCTCTCTCTCTCCCTCCTCTTTTCCCCTCTCACTTTCTCTCCCTCTCTCCCTCTATCTTGCCCTAGCTCTTCCTCTCTCCCCATCTCTCTTTCTCTCTCCCTTTCTCTCTCTCTCTCCCCTCTCTTTCTTTCTCTCCCTCTCACTCCCTCTCCCCTCTCTCTCCTTCTCCCTTTCTTTTTTTCTCTCTCCTACTCTTTCTCTCTCCCTCTTTCCCCCTCTCTCCCTCTTTCATCTTCTCTTTCTCCCTCTCTCTCCTCTTCTCTCCATTTCTCCAACATTATCCTTCTCTCTCTCCCACCCTATCTCTCTCCCTCTCTCCTACCCTATCTCTCTTCCTCCCCCTCTTTTTCTCTCCCCCTTTCTCCCTCTCTATCCCTCTCTTTTTCCCTCCTATTACTTTCTCCTTTTCCCTTGCTTCTCTCTCCCTCTCCCTCTCTTCCACCCTCTCTCTTTCTTTCCCTCTTTCTCCTTCTCTTTCCCTCATTTTTCTCTCTCTCCCTCTCCCTCTATCTCTCTCTTTCCTCTTTCTCCCTCTCTCTTTCTTGCTCTCCCTCTCTTTTTCTCTCTCTCCCTTTCTCCCTCCCTCTCCCTCCTTTTCTCTCTCCCTTTCCCTCCTTTTCTCTCTCCCTCTCCCATTCTCTCTCTCTCTCTTTCTTACTCTCCCTCTCTCTTTTCTCTCTCTTCCTCTCTCTCCCTATATGTCATAATCCATTTCTCCCCCTCTTTCTCCCTCTCTTTCTCTCCCCCTCTCCTTGTCTCTCCGTCCCTCTCCCTCCCTCCTCCTCCTTATCTCCCTCCCTTTCTCCCCCTCTATCTCCCTCTCCTTTTCTTTCT